ACAGTTACGAGAATAGATATTAGCCTAATGACAAATTAACATATTCATGCCAGGCTAAAGATCAGTCAGTTATGCTTTCCTCATCAAAACACAGTTCTTGTGTTTTATCGGCCATTGTTGAATTAAGCGCGCGGTGAGGTGCAATACCACACGGGGCTAACAATTGCTAGGTAAGGAGAGGATTTCGATTAATTTTCCAGTTATTGATGTCGACCTGATCAACGCTGAGTCTGTTCGTAAAAGTTAGTTATGATTCGCATAAGAGGAAACTTGATATCAGCCATCCGCTGTAGTTACCAGTTTAGAACGTAGAATGGGGCAGCAAGGTTGTATAACTTCGCACAACATGTTTATGGCCTTCCGAATGAGACATTCCAAAGTGATGATGGATCTGACAAAACGATGTTCTTCCATAGTGGCTGTTAGCTTTTCATTTGGAGAGGTTTTTTACCAACGTTGGTTACCACGCAAGAATCTGTTCAGGCAGAGAAATGATGTATTTCTTCGTGGTTTATCACAACCACGAGAGTCGTCATTCCTGAGGACATTTTCAACAGGTGCTCGTAGTCATTCAGTTGTTAAGAATGAGTTAAAAATTGGGAGCCATCATGAGGGCTTTCTTCCAATCGGTATATTTATACTTATGGGGAAACAAGAACCGATGAAGAAACTCATAATGGCTCAAAAAATTCCGAAATATAAACTATTAAACCTATTTACCACATTTTTACCAAACGTGTACACTTTAATACGCAAAATAACCAATCTGACCCTTTTGAATAGAGGTATTTATAGCATGAAACAATGTGCTCCCGTCATAAAGGGCTACCTGGTGTGAGATTGAAGTTCATCTGTTCCAGAAGGCGGAATGGCAGCTCGTCAACAATCACAAGAGAAAGAGTCTTTCTTAGCCATTCGGCAAAATCGACATACATTTTGAAAGTGTTACTGTGACGCGTAATAAGTTGAATACTGGAACGAATTCGGAAGATTTCATCATCAATAGCGGTTATGAGACATTGAGGCATTTAGAGCCTTACCAGACCCTCCACATTATGCAACGGATTCAACTGCAGGCGTTTGATCGGACGGTTGCCTATCGCCATCAGCCTCAGAACAGTGCTATGATGGAACAGGTGAAGACACCCGTTGGTAAAACGGTTGCAACTGAGGTAAAGGTCGCGCAGCTGAGGTACTGGTTGAAAGGCGGCTGGCTTGATCCGCGATATCCGGTTGTCTTCTATGCTTAAAGCTTGCAAGTATGAAAACGGCAGACCATTTAATGCTTATGTGATTAGACGACAATGGCAGATCTTGCATGATAAACAGACATACACATTCATATGCACATAAATACACAATTAACATAAAAACAACAGTAAACAATAAAAGAAACATGAAAAAATCATCAAGTCTGAGGTAAGGTTAACATCAGGTGTAAGGCGATGTTTAATGGCAAGTTAAGGTCAGGTAGAGGGCGAAATCGAGGGCCAAGCTTGAGGTCATGTCTTAAGGCAAGTCCAATGTTTAGTCTAGAAAAAAGTTAAGGCAATGTCAAAGCCAAGCCTAAGGCCTGGTTTATGCCATGGTGAAAATTTAAGTTATGACCATCTCAAAGGCCTTGCCTAAGATCATATTTAAGCCCGAGTCAAAATTGAAGTTAAGGCGGAGTGTACTTTTGTATGTTATTTACGTAGTTTTAAACATCTATACATATACATACACATATATGAATCAAAAGAGAATTTTCACATGCAAAATATTGAATATGTACATGATTGTGCACCTAAATATGCATTATGTATATCTATGTATGTACATTTACAAAGCATTATAGGATCATAGACATCATTCCTTCCTCCTCAGGGTACAATTTCAAATGATCAGAAATACAACATATTCTTGTAA